GTCAAGCCGTGTCATAAATTTTCTGGGAAAGTTGGACTCCTCCTATGACTAGCATCTTGTTTTTGTCCCCTTTCGCTAATGAGCACTCCCAGAGCTGCTTCCTATTCTTTTCCCCTCCCTCATTTCAGGATCCAGCTCTAATTAGATCATTAACACCTGTGGGTAGATTTTAATTTGTTGTTGGACTGATATCTTTGTTGTATCTTTCTGACAGGACTGATGGTGGTGATCATATTTCTAATATAACTATCTAAGGTCTACGATTAATGAAGAAATAAATTGTCAGTTGTCTATTCTTGTCATGGTAATAGATTACCTAATAATATTAGTATATTAGTCTGAGCACATCTGCACTGCTGCCATTGTTGAACAGGCTGTGCATTGGTTGCAAATTAATTTGTTGAAAACTGATTAAGTTGGGGAGGATGTTCCTAGTTTTTGCTGGACACTCCAGAATACACTAAAACCTTTAATGTTGCTGAACTTCTCACCTTCTACTGCAGGAAGGTGTGGGAAGCTGTCCTTTCATGTGCCGACATCTTAGCAAATTCTTCCTTGCTTGAGCAAAGCAACGATTGAATCCTTTTGCTAACAAGATAATGATATTATGCTCATGTACCAGTTTAAAAGAAAACAATTTTCTAATTAAAGTGATAGGATTTTATTTTGGTCTTCTGCTACTTAATTTTTATGGCTAACAATCTATTAAAACAAAGTTTTAGAAAATAGGCTTCCTGTTGTGGAATCAATGCAAATTTAATCACTGTTCTCATTAATCAAACATTAGTTGTCAGGGAAACCAGAGCAACAAAGCTAGAAAAATACAGTGTTTGTATTGCTACCAAAACTTTTGACCATTTTTGTATAAAATAACCTGTCATAACATGTTACATCAGTCAGGATGGTTTATGATTTGACCTCTGGGTATAAACAAAAGTTTACAATCCATTGCTTTTCGTTTCCAAAATGGATCTATTCCATAATAAACACATTTTACAATACACACAAATGGCCAGCTAGTTTCAGAGATTGGCGAATAAAAACAGTTTTTTTACAGTTCAGAAGTCAGTTAGGAGTGGGTCTCGAAGTCATGTCAGAGTCTTGCACAAACATCGAGCATAAAACAGTTTGAGGGCAGAGCTGAGTAGGAGCCAGAGTCAACGGGAGCTCAGGAGGTTGAGTGAGGTGAAACAAAAGGGGAAAAACCCAGAGGAGGAAACCATCCAAAAACATAAAAGAAACATGGATGAGAATATGATTTTTATCATTTATCTGTTTGTTTTCTTTACATATGGTTTTATTTAATTAGTTATTTATGGAAATATTGGTGACTGTGTTATGCGATTCTCATGAAGCCTAGTGATTGTTTTTGAAAATAACTTTTTATAAACAAGCTTATTTGTGTAGCACATTTCAGCAGCAAGGCAGCTCAAAGTGCTGTGCGTCATGAAAACATTAAAATACTTTATACATATACAGTCAATAATTGTGAAAAACGGAAAGAGACATTGCATTTTGTCAAGCTTCATTGTTAACATCAGCAATGCACATCAATTATGTTTATCATTTTATTAAGTGTTATCAACGTCAGACTATTGCATCTAAATTGGAAAATTACAGAGTCGGAAGATATGGACTATAATTTCTTTGTGTCTCATTTTTGCACACACTAATAACCTTGCAAAATGATATTGGTTCAGGTAAATGAAGCAATGAGAAGATGTTAAGAATGTTCACATTTGCAGGAGTTGGAAAAGGCAGTAGCTCAGTCAGAGCTCTAACAAAGATTTAAAAAGATCAAGTCTACTTCTTGAACACGCGTGTGGCATTAATGTTGTTTGTTTACATTCTTAAAACATTTTTTGGCCTTGTAACAATCCGTATTCATTCAGAAAGACTTAGTTTCTATTTGAAGAATAATCCATCAAAAGCAAAAATGTTGTTAAATCCCGGCAGTGTTAGGCAGCAGACAGCTTATTGATAAGAATTGTAGGCCTTTCATCATAATCTCTGCATAGTTCAAAAGCCTTTTTTTCTGACAGGCATTTTTCCAGTGTGCATGATTGACCTGTTACACATTTATACCCTAATAGTGTATGCCCTGACTTTCCTTTATAGTTCATATTCTGTGGATGAACTCTGCAGTGTGACCTCTGGAATGCAAACCTTTGTTGTTGAGGCTTCTGTTTTCTCTTTTTATGCTATTTTCTTTCCTTTTTTTTTTTTTCCCCACCAATGAGTGATGGCGCTTACCCCAGGAATGCATTGTGGCCTTACCTGAAGTGATTGAAAGCTTCTTTGGGCAAGTCCCTTTTCCAAGGAAAGACATAGTTTCCATTTGAGGTAATGACAGAATAATGGTTTCATCACACCTGCTGTTCCACCCCCTGTATGCATTTGCATGTACAAACATTTACATCTGGAGACATGCACTCAAGGGTGAAACTCTGCTGAAACAAAGCAAGAATATTTATTCTAGTTACTAAGAAGTGGAAGTTGTTCCATATCTCCTGGAAAAGGAAAAGCAGTTCCTTCAACCTCCCCTTGTTTACGCTCCCAACATGCCGACAGCTATTGCTCATACTCTTATTGCAAACATCTCGCTTTCATTACAAAACAATACTGTTAAGCACCTTTAGTTGAGTTTTTTAAACACACAGTCTCCTCCTTACCTGTCCAAAATCCCACTGAAGGAATGCTATGTTCTAAATTCATGAATAAATATCAAAGCTATTTAAGTGTAAGAGCTCATGACATATTACTGTTATTTTTCTCCATTATTTTTCTATTTACATTTTTTTTCTTTAGAAAGAATCTGTTCTCCTACATTGCTGCGCTCTGCTTACACTGTATAAGAAATTGCATAAAGATAAAGAGCAGAGCTGGTTTTCCTAGACTGATAACGTTTTACTAATTGACATTTTAGAGATTCCTTGATTCAATTGAGTGGAATTGGATTTTAAGTCTGTGATACTGGTCTGAGTTTTACTGCTGTAGCTGAAATTGACATAGAACTTGGATAAGTTTTTGCACCCAGGTTTGTATTTAAATAAACTTGAGTCGAACTGTAACATGTCAGGAAGATGTACAATTGCGATATTACTGTTGAATTTATGGTACATATTTGGTTGAGATGAGCCTATTATTACCTAATCATATTATTTTTTTCCAATCAATATCATGTTCCCTTAAGTTTTAAAGCTTTTGCATGAAGCCAGAGTCATCTGAATCTAATATGGGCAAGTAATGTGGAGTGTGTCAAACTTGCTAAATATACTATTAACATAGAAAGTGTAAGAGCCTTGGACTTGGTATATAATTACTATAATTACTGACTGCATGGCGTCAACGTAAAGCTTGGTCCATTGGGGATGATAGTGTAGGACTGTTTTTCAGAATTGTATTTCTGCCCCATTAGTTGCATTGAAAGAAACTTAAATCTACACACCAAGACATTTTGAAAAATTTCATGCTCTCAATTTAGTGGGAATAGTTTGAGCATGGTCTCTTCCTGTTCCAACATGGCTGCACATCAGGGCACAGTGCAATGTTCGTAAAGAGATGGGAAATCAACTTTGGACTAGAAATGCTTGTCAGCCTGATTGGACGTCTTTGGGACAACAACTCACCTCACTTGATACTTAAAATAAACAACTTAAAATAAACAACTTTGATACTTAAAATAAACAACTTTGAGACGTTTTCACTCAGTAAGAACATCATCACTGAAGAGTGTAGTTAAAACAACCTGACTGGTGCTTAATGTGATGTGTTCACTGATCGGAAAAACTTTGAATTTTTAAGTGTCCGATAGGTTCATTGTTGTTTAGTCGATTGTGCTAAAATATGGATCATTCTGGTTACCAGCTGCTCTTCCATCATTAGTAAATATATAAATAAAGTAAAAAAAAAACAAAACCTATAATTTCATCATTGTGTTATAGGTCCATATTGTTCCAACAAAAAATGAAAATAAAAGTCATCTTTGCTAATTGAAAAAATAATGGCAGCTTCAAAGACAGCTTATTGATCTCCTTTTAGAGTCTTGAACTTGTTTCTAACAGGAGACCACATTTCTCTCCTAACTCAAACAGGGTTGATTCCTCTACACAGTGAGTGTGCAGATATTTAATGAATAAAAAGAGCTACAGAAACAAATATCTCAGATCAAACAAAAGTTCTAAGCTATACCCTGAATCTTTCTTAGAGAGTAGTGAAGCCGTAATAACAAGCCCTTGTATGTGGTATACAATTATACTTTTTCATCTTTCTGAGGTTGTTCTTGAGCTCCATTTCATGGATTTCATGCAAGGCCTTGCTCTATATACTTTGCCAAAGAAAATGATTGATGAACCAGCTTCATCTTTAAATAGAGTAAATTCTGTGGCTTTGGTCAATCAAGTCCTTGTAGTTATATTCAGCATATGTAGTAATTGGATTGTCACACTGAAAATAAGAACTTGCTGCTTTATTTGAACTAGAAACATTTAGTCTTTTCAGTCTATGTGGCAAACTAAACTTTCAGTGTTTTTTCTTTTTTACAGCTTATGTAATTTTATGCTATTTGGAGTAGTTGAACATAATATTAAGACAGTTATTAAAAATAACATAACCTTATCCCTGTCTTGTTGTCAATTGAAAACACTTATAACGTAGATTTTTTTTGTTGTTGGGGACAGCTTGCACATGCTTAGAGGATTTTCTTTTTCTTAAAGACCCTGAAAACTGAACTCTGTTCATCTTTACATGCTGAAGCATAGCTCTTAAAGAACTCAATATTCTGTGATGTACATGACGTCATGTAGCGTTTGGGAAGCTTCTGCTTCTCAGAGAATATGTCCCGGACAGATTATGGCCTCATCATTTGAGTACTACAATTTACCGTAAATACAGGAAGTTGCGTTTATATGAACATTTTGTGGTTGTTTCACAAAAGCAGGCAACAAGATGAATACTCTTTTTTTTTTTTAATTAACTCATATTTTCCGCATCCTATTTAGGGAAAAGCAATTCCTGTGGCATCTGAAGCTCATATTTCCTCAGAGCAGCTCAGAGTTCAATCAGAGGAGGTAAGTTATACTTTAAAATGACATATTTCTGGTTTGTTTCTCAGATGTTACGGAACAATAATGTTGATTATGATATGACTGTGATTTGATTTTGTCATTGTTTAACTCACATTCTTTTTTCACCTCATATTTTTTTCTTCTAGGGTGTCTGACACCCAGACCTTGATCCAGATCTTGACTGCTTATATTCACCCCACAGAGTCTGATCCTGTAATTCGTCAAAAGTGAGATTTCAGCTTTTCTTTCTTCATTTTTTGGATTTTTTTTTTTTTACAATAATGAATATTACTCTCATGGAATTGCCAATGTTTTCAATCAAATTTTCCAACAAAATTTCTACATGTCTCAACTGAGCTTAGATTTTTACTTCAAGCACTTTTTCCCTTGATATAGATTATAAATGTCATCATATTGTGGAAAGTGAATTTGCCATGACGAATGCAAAAGCTTAACAGTGAGATTACAGGTTTTGAAATGTTACTTTGGCTTGAATAATCCTCAAGCTTCAGAAGAAAATGTATGGAAAGAATGTAATATCATTAAGATAAGTTCTGATCCAAGTCTTGATTAGAACAGAATAAAAAAAAATCTATTTAAAGAGTACAAAAAAAAAAACTATCCAAACCAACCCGAGCTCTACCTTGTTATGATTCAACTATGGCTAACCACATGTTTTGGAAAACTTAATTCACTTTTAGTAGCCACACCTCAGCGTGATTACTAACAGACCCTTGGATCGAACCAGCCTGAAATCATGAAGTAGGCTAAAACTTCTCAAGAACAAGGCTAAATGGTTGCAAGAATTGTAGAGTACAATAGAAAATACTTTATTAATGGAACAAAAGTAAGATGTCACGCCCCAGTCAAGTAGAAATAACCTTAGTAAAATAACTTCTGTTTTGCTTGTATTGAGGGTCAACAAATTTAGAGTTAGAAAAGAGTTAGATGGGTCAAGGTGTTAGAAGAAGGTAAATCAGGTAAATCAGTGGAATTGGACCACTTATTGATCCCCGAGGCAGCCCACAAGAAAGAGGCTGATGTGGACAGACACATTTCTGTATTAGCACTAAATGGTCTATCACTTGAACAATTATGAAGCCAATCCAGGTTTGTTCCAAACAAGAGCTGAGAGTTCTGTGGTCCATAGTGTGAAATGCTGTAAGATCTAAACGTATACAATTCACAAAGCTTCCAGAGTTTTTTGCTAACGGATTTCAATTAAAAAAAAATCTTACCAGCTCTCATACTGTGAAAGGTAAATGTTTAAAACCATCATGCCGTTTGTGCCTAAAAATAGATTCAATTTGGTAAATTTTCCAATATCTATGAAAGGTATAGAGGTTTGAAGATCTATCTAGAGATCAATGAGGGATCAGAGTTATTTTTTATTTATTTTACCAAAAGATTTACAATAGGATGTTTTGAATATTTGACTATAATAGAAATAATAGTATTTATAATGTCATCTTATTTAAACCTTTCAGTCAAATTTAACTCTTCAAGAGTTAAATAAAGCATACCTTTTGATGAAGTATAGGAGGGACAGGGTGTGAAGGAGAGTAGAGCTTGGAGAAAACATTAAGCGGAAAAGCAACAAAAATGTTTATGGAAAACTGAGCTTATGATATCTAGCTGAGGGCACAAGTAGTTCACTCCAGTGTGTGTAAACTGTCACTAAGAGGAAAAATCCCTCTTTGTTTGGAAGCTGAATTCCTTGCCTTGCAAATATCGGTCAGGATATCAGAGGTTAGGTTTCTTCTTTGCTGTGCTCAGTCAACACTTTGTGTTTTTCTCCATTTCTGTGACTATATGAAAAAGGTTATATCAGTTTAAATCGTATGATTTTGTTGTTGTTGTTTTTTTTTTTACTTTTTAGAATAAATCCCAAATGGAGATATTTTTTTTACACTTATTGATGTTTTTGTATTATTGTGAATTTGTGTTTCAGATTGAAGATGTATGTGCATCATCAATTTGAACATGTGAAAGTTTTCATGAAAGCAGAGGGGAGAAAGGCTAACTCTGTGAGGTGAGACATTTTTTCACTTTTTGTATGTTTTCCTTTTTGGTGTACTTAGATTTTTATTTATTTTATTATTATTATGAAAGATTTTTATCTTTAAGTAGAGATTCACATTTCTTAATCACAATGCTACTCTTTTTGTAAATACTTCTTATAATTTAGTATGCAGCTACAGTTATTTTACATGTCTGCAAAAGCTGTGAAACTGTTTAAGTCACTACATCTTTGTTGTTTTCAAATAATTTCCGGAGCCATTTAACAACCCCCAAAAAACATCCTAGAATCACACCACTCCTTTCACGCCATGTTCTTGTGACCGCACTGACCGTTTGATCAATCTTACTAATCGTGAGTGATTTACTCAGTATGCTTGAAATCAAAATACGCAGTTTACGGACATGATATCACTGCCTTGTAAATTCCATCAAACCTACGCAGAGCTTTTGCAAAAAGGGTTTAACAGCATCAGGTTCTATTTTCTTGCCATTTTTGTTGAGATTCCAGGATGGATGTGCTTTATCTTTATCCGAAATTAATTTCCCTTCCATTGTCTCCAAATCTTCACAGTTTCTGTCTTGTGTGCACATCATCTTTTGTCTTTATAATCTTGAGCGGCTTGATTTCTTGCTTTTTTGAGCAGATTAAAAAATGAGAGTATAGCGATTACGACATCCATTTACCTCGCCCAATTTTAGCCTCTTTCTCTGCTTTCCATTTCCGTTTTGTCACAGAGTGACTGATGATCATAAAATGTTCATAGCCATTATCCTTGGCCCAAATGAAACGTCATGCAACCTCCCATCCCATTTTTCATCCTTATAATGCGCACAGATACTTCCTTCTTTTGTTTGGCTCGGTAGGTTGGGCTGCACTCCTATTTCCAGGCTATAAATTATATTTACTGACAGCATGGTTAAAGAAATGATTGAAAGATGAGTGTAGTTATTTGCCAAGATTTAGCACAGGCTGTCAGACTGTCATGTTTTGCTTGCTTGTGTTAACACTTCAAAACAAAATCCTGGTCTTATGCTGCGCCTTTACAATGTTACCGTTATAATAACAGTCATTAAAAGTTCATCTCTACCATGAAAAATTACATGCTGTTTCATTAAATTGCTAAGCCAAGCCTATAATATAAAAGCCAGGTTTTTATTTCTTGCAAAAACTGTTATGCTTTCTTTGAAGACAATGCAGTTCAGAATATCTAAGGGATAAAATCCGTCTAGCTGGAGGCATGTCCAGCATGAGACGACATCCTGGCTAGAGATACACAGTGACTGAAAACTACTACTGTGGTGTACAGTAGATATGCACTGAAACATTAGTGCCACATTCTCACTTGGCTGACCCATCCCAAAACACACCAACAGCAGCAAGGAAATAAACAGTGGTTATGAATATCTGCTCGGTTTTTCGTAGATGTATGATAACCATATTTTAAAAAAAGGAGCGTAGGTAGCGTTTCTTTTTCAACATTTTTCTTTGTAACTTCTTGAAATTTAGAAGTTGACATTTTCTTAACAAAACGTAGAATGGCCTTTTAAACTGTGTTACATCAATAAAGGTTTTTGGGGATCCTTTCACAAGATTATCTCAATAGTCTGCTTCAACGGCAGTGTCATCGCACTGCAGGACATGTCTCAGATATTAAGGTCTTGGTCTCTCAGTCTCAGTGTTTTTATGTTTGGCTTCTTCGTCTCTGAACGGCCTTTTAGCCCCTTCCAGTATAAAACTCTACATAAAATGAAAGCAGTTCTTCACAAGATATTTTGCTTTAGAGATTGCAAAATGTACACATGTAGAGAGATACAAGAATGTCACAATGCAGATAAAGATCTCTATAGATTTCAATGGCTGTTAACCTTGTTTTTATCATCAATGTTGGACAGCAAGTCTGGAAAGAATGCTCAGTGTGTGTTGGGTTAAGTCTACGGGAGTGAGTCATTGAGGGTTATAAATCATCCTTGCTCTTTTTCTTTTTTACTTTAGATGGCTACAACTCTTTCCTGCCCCACCTTAGTATCTATCAGCAAGTGGTTGAATAACAGCAAATTGAGTTAATAATAATGAATATTAATGGTCCACATTAAAATGAACATCATGGGAATTACCTTACATTAAATCTGTGTAGTTACATAAGAAGGCTTGGACACTGATTACACCTCTAATTTGAAGTTGGGGTGCTGCAGAGTGACATCTTGTCCAAAACAAGTCTAAAACCTTTTACACCCAAATGGGCTAGTTCTTCTTGAAAACTGCTTTCCATGAAGAAAACTCTTAATTTGGCTTGAGCTGCTGATTTAATGAAGTCATGGATAGTGGGAGTAACAGCTTCTAGGAGGTTATTCACCACAAAGGGCATGACTGCATGTTGTTGTTGAACGACTTCGAGAAATATCCAAGAAAGAAGTTCTTGTGCTTAACTAAACATAGCTGGGTTAGCAGCATCCTCTTACTGGAAAATAAGGCAAGCACATCAAGACTACCATTCACACATTCCTAGATATTTGTTTATGTAACTTTTTTCATGTTTGTTTTTTTTTTTTTTTTTTAAATATTTATTCCACTGCTGTGATCCAGAGGATGCCTTCTCCCTTTTTCCCTGGACTTCTGCTTTTCCTCTCAGCCAGCCAAGCATCCATGCGTCCTGATGTGTCAGATTTACACAAGTTGTTTTTACATTTCTGGCTGAAAAAGGAAACACCTGTCTGTACTTTTTTTTTTTTTGCTTATGCCAATGCCCTGTGAGACAGGGATGTTTTTGTCCCGTGTAAGCTGAGCCTTCTCTTACATATTTGTGGCCAACCGTTTCCGGACCTTGCTCATCGGCTGTTGCCCATTTTGCCCCAAAGCTTGTATTTATTTCTGCTTAGCAGATGCTTCCTCATGTCTCCTGATATCATCATGTGGTGTTGTTATTGAAATTGTTCTAGATTTACAGGAGATAATATTCCATTAAGTGATGTGTTTAGGTCACACATGAAAAGCAGGGTTCTGCTTGGATTATTGAAGCCAGTTTTTGTTACTTTTTTTCCTGAACATCAGTGAACTAAACTTTTTATAGGTTTGCTTAAAGAGCTGCTGCTGGTAATAAGGATGAGATAAAGGTGTAAGGACAGGTTTATTGTGCATGCTTGAAAAGCCCGGAAAAAAATTTGAATTGTCTCTAGATGATTTTTGGATTTGTTGAAGTATGGAAAGCCCACGTGGAGTTTGGAAAAATAAAATTTTCTACAAGACTTTCAGACCTCTTTCAAAATGTGTACGAACTGCAAAATAAAACTACTTCCTAAGCTCCCTGTTAATGCTGGAAAGGAGATGTGTAACAACTGAACAGGACCAACCGCTTTGACGTCTTTCAGTCTGGTTTCTGTCCTCACCACACTACTGAGACCGCCCTACTCTGTGTGTTCAATGATGTCCACATAAAGACAGACTATAGAAGAACCACAGTGCTGGTACTGCTGAACCTAAGTGCAGCATTGGCACTGTTGGCCATTACATATTATTGAAGCAACTGGAGAGCTGGGTATGATTCTCTGGTACAGTAAATACTTGACTGGCTCCAGTCTCACCAAAAGAACAGGGCTTCTTTATGTTTCTATAGGTAACTTCACCTCAGAGTGTACAGAAGTCAAGTGTGGGGTACCACAAAGTTACCGAGCCAAGCACTGAACCGATTCTTAGAACAGATAAATGTGTGGATGTGCCATAACTTTTTTCAGCTGAACAGAAACAAAACTGAAATTATTGTTTTTGCACCACAAGAGTTGCGATCCATCAAGAGTTCAGTCATTACATCTAGAAACTACTAAACAGGCTCAAAATCTGCGTGCAGTGATGGTAAACATTTCATATTTGAGTCTGATTTCAATTGTTGATTGTGTGGCATCTTTTATGACTTTGTATTTTGATGTTTTTATGATATAAAATAATGAAATGTGCTGTACAAATAAACTTGATTGACTGATTCCCTGCCATAATACAGTGGTTGCATTGGTCTGTTACTGTGAAGAATTTAAAGTTCTCAGTTAACTGGTGCATGTGCATCCCAAATCTTATCTATTGAACTTTAAATTCTGTGGCACCAAGAACAAGATCCCAGATACAGCCAGATCAAATAAGGATGGCTGAGCTCCATCATTTGGGAACGGGTGTGGGAAGACTTTCTAGTGCAAGATTTTTGCAAGAGGAGACACTTGTTTCCGAATTAGAATACCCAGAATGCTATGTTCTTATTACTGAATAAATTAGTACATCAAGTTCACCGTGGAAATTGAATTTGTTACAACAATCCCCCCCACTTAACATGTTACACTTTCAACACTGGTTACGTGTTGACATGCGTCCTTTTAAACTGGAACATAAGTAGGTTTTTACATTTGCCCAGTCTCACCAGGTACCAGTTTGTGAACAACTTTCAAATTTATTCAGTACAGTAAAATAATAAAAAAAGCATTGGTTGGTTTTTTCCTTTTTTATACCCTATAATATCTTTTTTTTTTTTTTTTTTTTTTTTTTTTTTGCAGGGGTTTGAGCAGAACGGTGGAGAAAACAACAAAAACTCCTTTAAGAGAGCATTTGCTGAGTCTTGTGTTCATTGAGAGAACATTATATAGACACCAGATGTGTGCATGTTCTTGGCTGAGCTGCACAGCTTTGTATGTGGAAGTGGAGAGAGGTTTACTAATCTCATTGACACCACAGGGAAGAAAAATCTGCTTTCTTTTATAGTTGTTTACAAACACGGATGTATAAAAAAAAAATTTTTTTTTTTTTTTTGTATTCAGTAGATTTTTACCCATAAACTAAATGTCATGGACATAATGGGCGCCTCGTAAGCACATTCTAAGTATAGGTTTCTGCTTTCGCTTGCTATTTTTATTTTTTACACGCCTTCTTCCTAAATTGACTCCAAGCAGTAATCTTAAAACGTTATGATTTTAAATTTTGTAACATGGATGGAAAACAGTGTTATTATTGATAGACTTCACTTCTTTTTTTTATGTTGTGTTAATAATGCCACTTTGGCAATTTGACCATTTCCAGGTGTTTTTAAATCTACATCAGCTGTTTGTAGTTATTTGACATTTCCTATTCAGGGAAGTTGCTTTTGGACTGACTTTGGAATATTCCTTGGGTAAACAAGCAGGAAGTCCAAAATCTTTTCTATACTTGTACATTACTTTCAGAAATGGTTAAGTGATTACATAAACATATAGATAGATATTTATAGCAGGCATGTAGGCAAGACTGTCTTTTCCTAGACTACTTCTTCCAAGACTAAGACTGAGGCTGAATCATTCATTACAGTTTATTTTGGGGGTGGGGGGAGGAGGTGGGGTCACTGAACAAATTATATAAAATAATGTAATAACATCTAATTACTCTACCAAAATACCAAAGTATTAATCTGATAAATGTAAAAATAAGCTAATATTTCAAATGCAGCTGCATTTTGACACACAGTTTCTAAACTGAATTAATGGACTCACATAATACAAAGTTTAATTTAGAAAACCAGTAAGAGAGTAATGAAGATTTGTCAAAACAGACTTGGAGTCAAAGCCAGTTCTGTGGAGACCAAGACCAAGATGGAGGCCGCAACCTCCAAGACCTGGGAATAACAGCTTGAGACCAGTCTTGAGCCCTCCATCCCCGATATTTAATACATCCTAAATTAGAGCATGTCTCCTATTTATCCAGCGAACCGTTTCGTCTTGTGATTTATGAAATTTCTTGACTGAGGCAATCATTGATGTCATCTTCTGCAGATGGTTGCACAAGGGTGGGGAGTGCTGCCCCATGTGCCTTAGTGATGCTGCTAAGTCTTGGCCAAATACTGCATCTGTCAATATGTGATGCCAGAAAATGATGCTCATTTGGCTGTTGAAAATTCAGTTCTTAATTATCTATTAATCCTTTGATTATTGTCAGCAATCGCTCAAAAAAGCTTGTGATCATATAATTTATGTTGTAATGATATTGCGTTGTAATCATGTCTTTGTTCTGCTTGATTCTCCCTGTGATCTGACACAGGTACCACGAGTTGGACGTTGAGAAAAGCCTCAGGGATAACCTGAGTTATAAAACAGTCATTGAGTATCCTGTACTGCATGTTGTTCTCAGAGATCACTGGAAGGACTACCCACTGAAAGGACCAGGTAACCAAATCCCAAGTCATATGTTTGATGCAAACTTTGGTTGATGAAAAACAAATTTATCCACAGCTGCATTTGGATTAAGATTTTAGTGCCAGTTTTTAATAGGGATATAGATTTTGATACAGTTAAGTCTAAACAAATGGAATTTGTACAGTCCAACATGAGTCAAGACCCAGAGCAGTCCCAAAACACCAAATTCTCTCGGCTCTGCCGATTCCAACCCCATTGTATCATGTCCCGCTTTCTCCAGCTGAGGCTCTAAAACACTCTGTTCCCTTATTTTTCTCTATGGTAACGCATTAACCCAACGGAAATGAGTGTGCTCTGCTCAGGATCATGCACACCAGCTTAACCTCGACAGAAACAGTAGCCAAAGAGAGGATCAAACACAGCTTGCTTATTCGACTGTGACTTCATGAGCTCTGAGAAGGAGAAAACAGGATATTGGTCTTTGTTTCCCCTCGTTTTCTGCTTGGTTTCCTCTGCCCCTGAAGTGTTTTAAAGTCTAGAGGTGTCAGTTGTGTGAAAACACTGCTATATTTCGTGGGAATGGATGCTCATTGATGGATTTCTTCTCAGGTCTCCACACGGGAACCAAATTGTGAGCAGTTCAATTTTATGGTTCTAAAGTAGAACACAAGCCTTGTTTCATTATGCTGTCAGAACAAACTGTCCGAATGACAAATGAGGTCATTTTAGTCCGAGTGTGTTTTCAGTGATAAGCCCCTGGTACTATGTTGTTTCCCTGTAAACTTTGCCATAGAAACATCCTGATATTTCCCCATGCCATGCTCAGGGAAGCAGGGCAGGAAGTGATAACACACAGTCAGATACGGTGGCAGAGGATAGACTCTTGCTGAGAGACTGGCAGGGTATAAACAGAATTCAACCTGTATCTGTATTCATCACGTAAAAGATGTCTGTGAATAAACTGGGCTGCATTGTTGGTATTTTAAGGATCAGAATGACAGTAGTGTCCTGAGCAATCTGCCACCGATCATAATCAGGGGGGGGAGGGGTAAAACATGTTCGTTTTTCATTCAGTGGGTAGAAAGTACAGAAACTTGACTGAAATGAAAGTTGCAATACTTCATTAAGTCCAAGCATTTTGCTGGTTATCCACAAAACGGGAAGTGATAAATTATTACTCTAATCTCTTCAATAGAGTGCAATAAACTTTGCCAAACCAAATTATGCTAGTGAATTAGCAAACACTGAGAACAGCTAATTTTGCCACAGAAAGTTCATTTTATATGAAGCTCAAAAAAGTTGATTTTGCATGACACTGCTCCTTTAATTAAACTCAGTTTGTGCTCCATTGTAATGTCCCTTATGAAGATCATTGATCATCTGTATACATGGCCAGGCAAGAATCTGTTCTGCTGTCTCCAGTTAACATAAAAAAACATTGTCACTGAAATGTTGGCTCATGTCTTTTCAGCTGAACCTGTATCAACCCAAACAAGTTCTGCAACAAGGTGTGTTTCAGGAGACCAGACAGAGGAAGAGGAAGAGGGGGCCCAAGATTTACAACCGATACAAGGGTCTTGCGCTACGCAGAAAGCAAACGTTCACACAAGAACCCAAGACATAACTCCTGAAACAGAACCACCGCTGCAGAAAAAGGCCAAGACGGGCATAAGAGAAGAAGAACAAGAGGAAGGAGAGATTGTAGACAGCAGTGATGAAGAGGTGGAAATTGACAGCAGGGATCAGTGTTTAAGCAACTACCTTCCTGGTGATGCCTCAACTTGTAGAGAAAGTGCTGAAGTCACAGTGACCGAGGAGAATCCCGTTAATGAAACAGAGTGTGTTCTGACTCATCACATTCAGCTTGGAAATGACTCAGCTGCTGCTTCAGACAGCTGTCAGGTGGAATGATGATCGAGAGGATGCTGTTAAACTGAGTGACGAAGCAGATTTGGCAGGAAGTAACCAAGATATGCCTTTACTCGGCTCATTTATACAGACTGTGTTAAAAAAAAGAACAAATACATTAGTAGATCCAGAACCATGTCTTTTCTCAAATAAAATTGTTCTTTGTAGTAATTGTTTTGAAGTCCAAATGTGTTCATGTTCAACTTATAAGCAGCGAAATATCAGACAAAACCATCAAATTTTCTTAGAAATGTTATGTTGTCATGAAAAGAAGGGGCTAATAAACCTCAGAGAAAGAAAAATGCCTTTTTAAAGGTGAGCGATTTCATTCTGCTTAGCATTCATTAAGTAACATGTCCCTCCTGATTCTTTTTAAGTGAAAACTAAGACAAGATGCCAAAACCAACCCTCTGTGCTCTTTGAAGTTCCTAGCATCAACTCTGTGTCCGCTTCACTAACATTATTAGGCTCCCTTTTCCATTTACTAATAAAAGTTAATGTTGACATGTTCACTTTTCTAACACCTCTGGATGTCTCCCAGTGTGAATGTACTTGCACATGTGGAGCCTCTATGTAACCTTTTCTTAGCTAATGTTAGCTTATTATGACAACAGGCTGCCAGTAATGACTGTCACTGCAGGCCGTCACAGGGGCAGTTTTTATGGATGTGTTTTTAAAACCCCTGCTAACCTTTTTTTGACGACATCCCCGATGGATGGGGTTCTCTTTGATGTCTGGCCTGAGGTGATGCATTTTCCACCCTTTTGCAGTCGCGGCGTTGAGCTCACATCTGTGAACTGACTCAGATCCACAGCTTAGGTTGGAAAACACCACATGACAGAAACAATTACCACAAAACATCAACCTAAACTAAAAGTGACCAGTTCCAGCCCAAAGGGCGGGTGCCCTGCAGATTTTATGTCAACAACACAACTAAATTACCTCCTTAAAATGTCACCCAGCTTTGCAGGAGTCTGCAAAACTATCTATTTGATACAGATGTATTGAAATGAAGCATGTCCAGGACACCACCTCCACAATGAAACATGGCACTGGCAGCATAACGATGTAGGGATGTATTTATCCACCAGGAACAGGTAAAATGGATCAAGCTAATGCAGCAACTAAAGGGCTGTAGACTGGGGAAAAGAAAGGTTTGTACAAGTGCTTGCAGTTCTTGAAAGTGATTTAATGTCAATAAGGTGTTTTCAGGGTTTGCAAAGTGCTTGATTTCTCCATGATGTTCTTGAAAGTGTTTGAGATTCCCTCTGCACAGTCTTGTAATAAACTTTTAGGAGCACAGACTCCTTGCAAGAAGTCAAGTGATTATGTTGAGTGTAAGCATTTAAGTTGAGTAGAAAGCTAATTTACCTGAACACAAATTAATGTGTTCCATGTAATAAACATGTAATATGCCTAATGGCTCAATTAGTTAATGATCAGTGATTGAAATAAAGGTGGGCTTGTGTTATCAAAGTTGGGGGATTCCTTTTGTAGAATTTGTTTTGTTCTCAGATCAATCAGGTCTACAAGGTATGGGAGACAATTTTCAAAACAAAAAAGTTTGTTATATTTTAATTTACTTTATCCCTGCTATGTAGAATAGCAAACTATCACAAGACATTGTTAATAACAGTAACATTGTCTTGCCACTGTTATTTATTATGTTATTTATTCATTTGAATGGAGTTTATCTCCAATGTAAGTGCTGAAAAAATGTTTATTTCGCTGAAAAGGTTTACTTACAGCAGGACAGTAACTTACTCTTTCAGCCAGACCTACAGCAGCAATGCATATTCATGTGCTAGAAAACCCCAGTCCACCTTCTGATGAGTGAAGTAGGTGAAAACATTGTTACCCCCGAAGCACTGGCAGCTATAAAAGAGGTTAAGGGAGGATGAATAAATGAAGCCAAGTTTTTTTTTTTTATTAATAGTCACAAGTGAAGTGTAAACAGTGTTATTTGCTTCCACTCCACCATTATATTACATTGTTATTTACTGTGATATAAAATTATCCCCAAAATATGTTAAGGTTTGTGGTTTCACTTGTTTTTTAATCAAAATTGCAGAAGGTGACAAAGTCCACCTTCCTGTTGCTTTGTCTGATAATCAAAAATTGTCATTTTTGCTTGAAAGATGTTTTGATCGCTTTTTTTTAAATACCCCAATTTTAGACTGCCCTGTACCACACCTTGGCAGTTATCACAACATCAACTGCTATTTATGAGAAAGTTTCTTTACAAACATCTTTATTAGGTTGTATTTAAAATCTGTTGTCCATCAAGTTTCAAAACTCATCTGTAAAAAGTGACTTATCTATTTAAAATCTGATGTCATACATCAGCAGCTTGATGAAAGCATAATATTAGAATCTGTGATGCCTGTACATCTGTTACTGAGATTTTTGTTTTACAACTTTATTGAATTACTGCACACTTTATTTTATCAGATCTTTTAACTTTCTGTGTCCATAAAATGACTCAATGAGACCACACAAAAGCTATTTTTTTGTTTCTGTTTGCTGTTAAAAGTAATCCAGAGCTGTTTATAGTCTTTTGATTATGTAAGTGTTGGAAATAATGTCTCAGTTTAACTTAATTATGCTTTGAACTTTCTGAAATTGGTTTTCACTTGATTTGCCTTAATTTGGTGGTTAGGGCACAATTTCGCAGTGTGCAGAACGGGTTGCAATAAAGGCAGCTACGAGGGTATGAATTTACTTTGGTGGCCCAAACAATAGATTAGTTTAGTAGAGATTAAATTAAAAAATCATAAGTTTCCAAAAAATGGTTTATCCCCAATTTTCACAAATGTGAGTTTAAACTGAGAGTCACAGTAAATGTGTGGGAACAAGGTTTATAACTAAACGGAAAATTTCCATGCAGCATTTTAAGGTTTTTAAAAACATTCAGCCTGATGTAAATAATAATGAGCACTTAAATTGTTTACTGTCACTCCAAGAAATATTATAATGTGCTGGTTGGCCTCATCTCATTATACAAAGTCTTAGTCTTATTTTAGAAATGACGCATTTTGCCCAGTGGTTACTAGAGTATGACTTTATACTGTACCGTATCCTCACTCAGTACTGGGAGTTCATCTTGCATGAACTCCCAGGTTCATGTGGTGTGGTGTGGTATGAAAGCTTCAGAGGTCCCTTAAGGTTCCCTTAATACAAATCTTCCCCTTGTCTGCATTATTGAAAATGTCTTGTTTTATTTCTGACATTATTCCAAAGATTTTATGTGGCATTTGGGTACCATTACTGGTCAATCAAACACAGTGAAACTGTGAGGCAGGATAATGAGAGGGGCAAAAAAGATAAGAAATCAGCATCAGCAGACCATACAATGTAATTTTTATTCTATGCCATCTTGGTTTTCTGACATCAGCGGTTGTGGGAATGTAATCTGGAGGTGAAATTCAGTCCTTTAGACTGGCTCAAGATTTGCAATGGAAACTTTCCTCAGTGCACTTCTGTTTCTATACACGAACAAAATTTCAGACTTTTCTATAGATCTTACCATAACCCCTGTGCATCTTCAGACAATGCTCCCCAACCGTTCCAATCTTTGCTCTAAATGTTTGAGGCATGGAGGTACTCTTTTCCTTCTACTCTGGCCATGTGATTTATTGCAAATCTTTTGGAAAGATATTCATTCTGCAATTGAAAAGGTTTTGGGTGTTTGCTTCTTCTTGTCCCCTATGTTTTATCTTCTAAATGTTACCCCTAACCATTTGGATGCACATTTTAAATATTTGTTTACAATTCTTTGATTTCTTGCTGAGAAGTGTATTTTGCTCTTGAGTCTTTTCTACTTAGTCCCTAAAATTTGAGTATTTTGTTATTTTATTTTATTGTTCTATTTATTCTTGCCTGTTTTTTTATTTTAATTTGATTTTTTTTTTTGCTCTTTTCTCTTAATGGTCATGACTTGGACTGGAGGAAGAAACACCGTGTTTCTTATTTATGTGGGGTATGTTGTTATAGTTGTTTGTTTTATTTTGTTTCTTTTGTGAATGTATGTGTGTGGCAGCACAGTTTTCTCTTTTGTTCTTTGCATTGAATCTGATCTAAAATTGATTTTAGATCAGTTTATTATTACTAATGATAAAGAAGTTACTCTAAAGAGAATAAATAATACAATACAGAAGAGAAAACCCTCCATTTGGTGGTACATAGTGATGCAATCAGTGAAATCGTACACCAATATAAACCGGAAATGTAGGGTGCTCCCATACACCTGTTCTGGCTGCAGTAACAGGCTGAGGTAATGTACCAGAAATGTACCTTGTAACAAAAGAAACATTCATCTGTTAGCTTTAAAAGCAAATCTTTCGACGTAAACTGCAACATAATTCTATCACAAACAGACCCAGAATATTAAGTGAAGCAATGTTCAAACTAAAGCATTATGGCCAACTATAGAAAGATTAAGTAAATCAGAAAGATGTTTAAGGGACATGTTGTAAATGTGTCTGATACTTAGGTTGTTACACCAGGTATGTGTACTACTGACAATGTGAACAGTTGTCATGTCGGCTTGGGAACCAAAATCCTGGTCCATGAATGAACTGTGACAGTTGTAGCCCTTGTTCTGCATATGTCTGTGTGTGTGGTCCATATGTGGTGGCTCTTGAAACAATGACTGGAAGTCTCTCAAATCCTTTTGCTTCATGAAGATTAAGATTTTTCTTAGTCTTCATTGCTTGTGCAGAAGCTCACAGAAAAACACTTTTTTCTATTACAAGTTTACCTTCCTGTTAGCTTTTTATTTATATGCAAGAATCCAGCACTTTGTGTACCTCCAGCTTTTTTGCTAATGACTTTTAAATGCTTGTCTTCCTGTTGCCAACTGATTTACAGCTATCAGTCAAGTTATTCCCATTATCATACATTCAGTGATCTTCAAAAGTGACAGAAATAAATGCTTGAAATATATCAGTCTGTGAAATATTAGGTCTGAGTTTTATTTATTTATTTTTTCAGTTGAATTGCTGAAGTAGATCAAATGTTATGTGCATTTTCAGCACTTCATTTTAAAACAGACATTGTACGTTAGGATTGAACAGTGATTACTATTGTTGCCTAAAAGAAAAAAGTTTCTGGAGTTAAGTCTCGACTGGGGTCTTTCTGAGTGAAGCTTGCATGGTTTGTACGTACTTTTG